TAAAATTTTAGGGTTAGTAGTTTTAGACATTGAAGTTTCGAATGAGCAAAAAAAATCGAAAAAAAAAATTTTATCGAGTGCCTCGTATCCTCGATGCTGTCGTGGACCCTCTCTTAAGAAGCATACGATTCGAAAGCAAGTAGAAATGATGTGTGATAAAATTCCTGCCACTCTACTTACGATACCTGTTGATATTGTCTATCGAATTTTGGACGAACTTGACAATTCTACAATAATATTGTCCGTTCGCAATGTTTGCGAACGATTAAATGTAATTGCTGATACATATCATCGATATCAGGTAAAATTTTTCATTATCGTTTTTTTTTATTTTGACTTTTCATGTAAGAATAGTGATTGTTTGTGTATAAGATTAGAAATGGAATACTTTAGTTCTGTATTTTTGTCGCATGGCCATCGTACCGAAAATATTTTTCCATACTTGAAGCTTTGTAGTCACAAAGCTTTTATTAAAACATACGTCATAGTTAAGATAAAAACAGGACTGCATTTCAAATGTATGAATTCATGTCAGAATAAAACTACATATTAAAAGCTAAGTTTTGTTAATGAACTAAACTTATTGATTTCGGCAAATGTATACAATATAAATTCATATTAAACACCTTAAACAGAAGGATGTAGCTGTGACTGTGGATAGGGCTGAGAGTAGGCTCTACACCCATACCACTTTAGAAAGGAAACTTCCCACATTTTTCTACGAGAAAAAGCTAACTTCGAGTATTTTTCAGAAAAAGATGCGCTGTTTAATTGAATGTCCTTAATATAAGACAGTTTAATTGAGGTTTTAAACTTCTGTTTAACAGCATTTAGAAATTTGGATACTTAATTAAAAATAATTTTTTTGCGGATACCAATGACAAGTGAACCAAATAAAACCCTGTTTTTGTTTTCTAGTAAAAAACAAAATTTCAACAATACTCTTGAACAAATTTCGCCTGGTGTTCAGCGTCATCAATCTAGTAAAAACATACTTCCACTATGTAATGACCCGACAATATTTTGATTATATTACTGTTTTTCATATTCATGGAGAAAAATTAGATTTACCTTTTTTAAGTCAGAATTCCTCTTTTTATTCGTTAGCTTCTGTCTCGAGTTGAAACAATAAAATATCAGACTTATCAGACTTAAATACGATTAAAACCTAACAAAAAGAAATATCTGACGTTTCCCATGATAAATAAGTTGAGAACGTCACGTATTGACCCATTTTCCAGTTTGCTGTTATCGAAAAGTTGAGCGTACTCTATATTGAAATCATTTCACCGCCTGTCATCCTGTTTAATTTTACCTAAACCTGGATTCTGTCTGACATTTTATTTCATGGATTTCCAGTGAATTTGATTATGTACTTCAAAGTTTATAAAAATTTTGTGATTTCTACTACCGTAATGGAGAGATGACTGATCGATGAAAAATCTCATTGATGCGANCACTACTTTTTGCTAGGCATATCAATATATATTTTTATTACATTAACAAATACCAATCTTCAATTATATCAGCCCGATAGTTTCCCTCGTAAGATTTTTTTCGTGATTATGCCAATTTTCAGTTAACTTAATGTAGAGTTGTCAAACGTTCACCCTCGATAAAGTGTTTGATTTGAGCAGGAAATATCATAGACCGCACCTTTGTACCTAGCTTTACGAGATCGTTGTGGGTACCGTAATGAGTACCCATCAATTATTTATTGTGTCATGCTTAAGTGAACAGTTTTGAAGATTATTTTTAATCTGAATCTTCTAGTTTCGTTGTAGAGAAGAAAAAAGTTACCTTTACGCGGGAAACTATCGGGCTGATATAATTGAAGATTGGTATTTGTTAATGTAATAAAAATATATATTGATATGCCTAGCAAAAAGTAGTGAAAGAAGTTTTGGATTGGTCGTGCGTATGATTGTTCTTCCCATGCACACCACACTCTTATTCAGATAAAATTTCAAACATTCTCGCTGTAAGCTCTTGAATTAATTATGATTTTTCCAAGCAAACTTATGAAAATAAATTACTACGGTATATTCATTTCAACCTAACCTATTCATGGTCACATTTTTTCGAAACCTCATCAACATTGTCATGAAAACACTTCCATAACTATTTGACTGAAAAAAAATTCGCTTTGAATTTATTATTATGGTTGAAAGAATAATGATAGGATTTTAAAGAATTAATGCTATTTACCAAGCTTCTAAACGCTACAAAGCTTTTTTTTTCAGTTGACACAAACATGAACGAATTATAATATTTAACAGCATGTTTCTCATACGTCCCTTATTATAAATGGATATGGTTTCATATTCTTCAGTTGTTATTATAAAATTCGGATCCGAATATTTTATTCACTTGAAAACATGAAGAAAAACTGCATATTTTTTAAGTTTTTACTGCTGGTACTTATCAAATTTGTAGATGGTAATACTATACGAATTTCATCGAAGAGTTTAAATAGTGATCATAGCTTCATACAGTCGCAGAGATTTTATAGGAAGTTTCAAGAACCAACCTCCTTTTTGATTAATGGTGAATCGAATGTATATGCAAAAGTTACTCGTTTCACCACAGCATTTCATCATACAGAACCATTATTATTCAAAATTAAATTTGATGCCATATTCCAACGCCAGCTTCATGGGTATTTCCCCGTATAATGTTGAATAATCTTCTGATTTATAATGATAGATTAATAAAAAATACTGAAGATCGCTATAAATCAATACCAGGATATACTGAAATTCATTCTTTTGATCATATTGGCGCAGGACAATATGCTTTTTTCACGTCAATAGCGACAACAATAACAAAATCGGAATTAATTTATTTACAACCAGGTACACATGTAATTGATGTTGCAGCTCGAGCCATAGGACAGATGCCAGTTAACATCTATTTTGGCGTATTAACTATTGAATTAATTCAATATGATAACGAGGTGAATATTGGTGAACTGAAACCCATCAACACTACATTATTTGAATGACATGGATAAAACTATAACAGCAGAAAACTCTTGTGAAACTTTCTTTTTTTTTTGTTTAATTTTAAACTTAAACTTGAAAAATTACAAAATCACTAAAGGAATATAAAATCAGAGCTTGTAAGAGCATATACATTGCGTGCTGTAATTATTACTGTTTAGGATACATATATATATTATATATCTTTTGTTTGAGTTCCGTGCTTTTCATAACTTCGAAAATCACAAAGAAATAAAAAAGTTAAAAATTTCTGAATATAAAATAACTCACGAAGGATGTGGGTGGGGCCTTCTCTTTTTCTATATCACTACCTACACCTGCATATTCTCGGTGCTTTTATGATCGTGAATAATAAGAGTAAATTAATATAAATGAAACTATTACATACCATCATGATACGCTCGATTCCATTGCAGGATAGTCCAGAAAGTATACGATCGTATTTCTCGTCACAGACAATAGTATATTTCATCATGTTCGATATTTTACAATGGTTTGTGAAACTTGTAACGCTCGTCTTGGACACTCGATGAAAACAAAGCGGAAGACCGTAAGAATTTGAGCGTATATGTAGCTTCGTGGAATCTTTAACATACAGTATGATCATGATGCTAAAAAATCCTTTCAAACTTAGATTTTCTTCAAGCAACAATGCTGAGTAACAATCTTTTCGATTAATTCTTATTCTCTTAACAGTGGCAAGAGAACGAGCAATGATTCAAAAGCAATACTCCTGCAATCGACGTCTTCAGGTGCAACTTCAATAATACAAACACATAACGATTAGCCCAAACATTCTTATTTTACTAACTGTTGCTTGTTTGATTATATCTCTGGTATCGAATTGTATGAAATCACAAGATGATTTCTGTTTTCTTTTCTAATCAATTATTTTGTTAGGTTCATGTTGCCTGTTATCCACTTTTTTTACGTATGCACTATCGTCCAGATCACGCAGTGAAGAGTTTTTTCAAGCAAAGCTATCGCTTCGACTATGACTAGGGTGTGGGTGTGTGGGTGTGGGTGTGGGTGTGGGTGTGGGTGTGGGTTTGGATATGGATGTTGGTGGCTGTGTGCCTAGCTCTGACAGTGGGTGGGTATTGATGGAAGTGTGGATTCGGCTGGATGTGCGCATGTGTGTAGGAAGAATATATCAAAAAAACCCACCCACCCACTCCCACCCATACCCACATCCACAACTATAGCCACATCCATACCCACACTCATACCCTGCTTTAGCAAACAAACTCTATTGCTTCAATTCTCTATGAAAGTAAATAATTGCACAACCATACGGTAGTTTGAAGAAATATTGCAAACAAACAGAATTATATAAAGAAAAGCAAATTTCAGCGAACAATCATTCGTAAGAAGCATACGATTCGAAAGCAAGTAGAAATGATGTGTGATAAAATTCCTGCCACTCTACTTACGATACCTGTTGATATTGTCTATCGAATTTTGGACAAACTTGATGATCCTACATTAATATTGTCCGTTCGCAACGTTTGCGAACGATTAAATGTAATTACTGACACATATCATCGATATCAGGTAAAATTTTCCATTTAATTTTTTTTTCATTTTGACCTTTCATGTAAGAATAGTAATTGTTTGAGTATAATATTAGAAGTGGAATACCTTTAGTTCTGTATTTTTGTTGCATGGCCATCGTACCGAAATTTTTTTTCCATATTTAAAGCTTTGTAGTCACAGAACTCTAATTAAAGCATACGTCACGGTTAGCATGAAAATATAGCTGCATTTTATACGTATGAATTAATTTCCGGAACAAAAATACATATTAACAGCTAAGTTTTGTAAGTGAACTGAACTTATTGATTTTGGCAAATGTATAAAATATAAAGTGATATTAAACGTCATAAACAGAAGGATGTAGCTGTGACTGTGGATAGGGCTGTGAGTAGGTTCTACACCCACACCACTTTAGAAAGGAAACTTCCCACATTTTTCTACGAGAAAAAGCTAATTTCGAGTATTTTTCAGAAAAAGATGCGTTGTTTAATTGAATGTTCTTAATATAAGACAGTTTAATTGTGGTTTTAAACTTCTGCTTAACAGCATTTTGAAGTTTGGATACTTAGTTAAAAATAATGTTTGCGTATACCAATGACAAGTAAACTAAATAAAACCCTGTTTTTCTTTCGAAGTAAAAAAAACGACGTTTCAGCAATACTCTTGAACAAATTTTGCCTGCTGTCCAGCGTTATCAATCCAGTAAAAATATACTTCCACTGTGTAATGACTCGACAGCATTTTGATTATATTACTGTTTTTCATATTCATGGAGAAAAATTAGATTTACCTTTTTTAAGTCAGAATTCCTCTTTTTATTCGTTAGCTTCTGTCTCGTTTTGAAACAATAAAATATCAGATTTATCAGAATTGAATACGATTAAAACCTAACAAAAAGAAACATCTGAAGTTTTCCATGATAAATAAGTTGAGAACGTCACGTATTAACCCATTTTCCAGCTTGCTGTTACCGAAAAGTTGAGCCTACTCTATATTAAAATCGTTCCACCGCTTGTCATCCTGTTTAATTTTGTCTAAAACTCGATTCTGGCTGACATTTTATTTCATGGAATTCCAGTGAATTTGATTATTTACTTAAAAGTTTATAGAAACTTATATTTCGTCGATTTCTACTGTCGTAATGGAGAGATGAATGACAGATGAAAAAGTTCATTAATGCGACTCATTTTAGAATATCTGATACAGAAGTCAATGTTGCAATGAAAAGTTGTTAGATGCCTTTGAATGAAACGCCAGCTCTCAATATTTAACCAATAAACATACTAAAAGCTTATACTTATATACATGGACGGTTAATATCGTCCTTAGATTGAATTCGTCGAATGACACAATAAAAACTTCATCTAGAAT